GTCGCGCACGGGGAGGGAGGGAGGGAGGGAGGGAGGGAGGAGGGGTCCTTACATGAGATTTGACGTCGAATAGCTTGGAGCAAGCATTCTTGCTGAAAAAAATGGTAGGCATGCCTTGCTGTCGACGCGATACACGGTGAGGGACGTCACGCGCGCATATCTCCCTGCGCGACTACCCTTGCAGGTTGTAGAAGAGAAGGCAATGACTCATCCAGTGGTGGACCGCAAGCACTCTCCGTGCGAAGCAGTTCCGGGAACCGAGGAACCACAGCCAGCTTTTTTCTGCTGGAGCGTCTTATCGCCTGAGCTTCCCATCAGGTGGATACTCGCCTCTGTAGACAAAAAAAAAAACACAGAACGCCCACCCACCATGGACATAGGAGAAACCTCTCTTGTTGTGGAATCTCTCTCTGTCGCCGGGTGTTCCCAACAAGTCCGAGGGAGAGGAGATGTCTATCCCAGGCCCCAAAAGAAAACCTCACCACAAAAAGCAAACGCCGGACACTACAAGCATCACCACAACACCATTGCCAGGGCGACAAACAAACAAACAAAAAAACGCACCGGAAATGCCGCGACCCAATCCGCGACCCGCTCGCCCCTTCCTTTAACCTGCCGCTATCAGCAACGCCAACAGCAGTATCTTCTTCCGATGACGATGCAGCCGGCAGCGGCGCAGGAGCAGCAGCGTCCGCGGAGCGTCCGCGGAGCGACCTCATCCGGGACACGGACACCTGTAGGTAGTGGAGGCACGTGTCCACGAACCCCGCGCCGATCCTGGCCGCCTTAGACTTGAGCTTCGGGCCGAGGCGGAGGTGCAGCTCAACGATGAGGTCGGAGGCGGCCAGGGAAGCCTGGGAGCCTGCCGACGTCGCGTGTACGACGTCGCAGCAGCGGCGGCAGCAGCGGCGGCAAAATACGGCAGTCAGTTCGTGGCACGCACGCACACTCTTTGTTTGTGGGGGATCGGTATACACAACACACCAGCTAGTTGGTAGACTAGGTGGATACAGACTAGGTGGACGCAGGCAGCTACGCTCCGAATCTTAGAAACATTATCTCAAGGAGCGAGAGCGTTACCCACGACCATTGTTTTGCCGGGTTGCACTTCTCGACGAAACGTGATGACACAAGTTGTCATTCGAATTTAATCGCTCCGCTGTTCGCGCGAAAGAGGGAACAAAAAAACAACACACGTGCTTCCTCCATCCGATAGAACAGCTTCGTTTCTCTCCTACAAGTACACCGGCCCCAAGCAATCAACACTATCATTCGCACCGAGGCCATGCATCACTCGCATCCGTCACCTGCGGCGTCGAGCACGACCTCCCACAGCGTGTCCAGCCCGTCGAGGTCCATCCCATGCCTCACCCACCCTCCGCCGCTGACCACCGCTGCGCCCTGACTACCAAGCGCCCCCCAGCCCGCCCCCGCTCCTGGGCCTGTCGCTGCTGTGGCTGCTGTTGCTGCACCACTGCCGGCGGTGGAGGCGGCCTTCACGTCTCGACGGATCGCCTGAGCAGGAAGGGTTACGAAAATCCGCGTGCGCAGCGGCGTGCGCGAGCAAAGCGACAGAGCCAGATAAACGAATGGTGGAGGGAACACAGTTTTGGTACCAGCATGATGCGGCAGGCTGCAGGGGAGGAAGAGTGTCCGGGGAGTTAAGCTACCGCCATGTGTACGAAACACGTGGAAAGTCCACTATTACGCTCTTCCGTGCGTGTTCGTGCGTGCGCTTTCTTGCCTTCTTTTCGCGAAGCCCAGGCCTCTGCTCTTCGTAGGATCGATCGCTGTGGAAAAGAGTCTGGGTTTTGATGCAAGTTGCGGGTCGGTGTTCCGTTTGCTAGACCGAACGATGGCATACATGGATCGGCATGCTTGCTTGTCTCTTGTTGTTTTTAGCTGTTGCAACAACCAACCCATGCATACAAGCGGCACAAGGGCAGCTCGCTCTTCAGACGCCACTTCATTTCTTGCGGCAAACACATACCGTAAACCTTGAACGAAAAGAGCGGGCACGAAAAAAAAAATAACACACCAAACTTGGTGCATCTTCCGCCTTTTCTGTGTGGTCACCTTCGTGCGGCAGTTGACGTGCACGAACAGCAAGCCGAACAGCGCGGCCACTTCAGGCCTGTAGCCACTCCCGTGAAACGACGCCACGGCCAGCTTCGTCTCGAAGAGGTACGTTAACGCAGCCTCGGGGAGCGCCGGGAGCGGCCCCACCAGACCTTGCCACAGCAGTACCCCAAAACCGCGAAGTATGGTAAGAGATGAGACACCCGGTCACGTAGAGGGGGGAAGTTTTCGCGCAGGACTAATTCAGGAGAGCACACCACGTTTCCAGGATACGAAAAAAAAAAAACTTTCCACCACCACTTGCTTGCGGTTGTGAACGGCGTGTCACTTGTCACACGGGAGGGGCGGGTACATCACAAGCGTCACAAGAAAGCGCTACAACTCGTACAACCTTGACGAAGATGACTACGACAACGTCTCCTTCGTCCCACCACCACCCCCTCTCCCACACCTGCGAATGTTGTCGAGCTACCAACACCACCATCGCCGCCGCTGCCGCTGCCGCTGCCGCTGCCGCTGCCGCTGCCGTTGCTGCTGCCACCAATACCACCACCCGACGCGCTGTCCGCGGACCCGGGAGCCAGCGCCGAAGGAGACGCCAACGCACCGCCGGTGCCCCCGCCCCCACCCCCTCCCCCCGCGGCGGCGGCGGCGCCAGCCTGGGCCGGCGTGGAAGCATCCCCGACCGTCGCGCAGACCTGTCTCAGCCAGACAAGTGCCAAGTCTTGTGGCAGGTGCGCCACGGCGGTAAGAATCGTGGGGGGGGGAAAGAAGCGGAGCAAAAGGATCAGCGTCAATAAAGGTGGTCAATCGCGCCCGGAGAGGGGAGGGAGAGTACAAGAAAATGCCTGCGTGCTTTGTTTAATGAGCCAACACAGATCCTCCGCTCACCCGCCGCCTCTGGCGTCAGGGCTCCCTCCACGAGCACCCTCCACAAGAGATCCACGTGCGCCTCCGCCAGGGACAGGCTCGAGTTTGTCAGTGCGAACATCAAGAAGCCCAGCTTGGCCTTTTTTGGTGACACACGCCAAACACGGAAACCCGCGAGCAAGGGGAGAGAGTGTAACGCGTGTCCCGGTGAGAAGGATCAGACGCGAGGGAGACGGGACATGTTCATTCGTGCCACGATGGCGGAAGCCGCCGCCCCGTGCGTTGTACATACGAATGGCGTGTCTTTTATTCGGCTGTCATCGGAATACGACCTCGCAAAGATCAACAAGAAACCAGCAATTTTTTCCGTCACGCTCAAGCCATCAGGGGCCGCAAACAAGCCAATGTGCCTGCGGTATGGTATAAAATACTTGAGGCGAAAGAAACAAAACGAAAACAAACACGAAACAGAAGCGCAGCGGCGAGCGTGTCTGCTAGAACAGCTCATCCACGACAAGGAACTCTATACCAGCCCCCCGCAACACTCGGGGGTTCCCCGCTACCGCAAAAAAAAGCACCTGTATGTGCTCCAGGTGGCTGTAGCGCGTCGTCACCCCGTCCACCCTGACGCGCCCGTGGTTCAGCACCGCTTGCACCTGCTCGCTCAAGCCCATGCCCCACCTCACCGCTGTCGCCGCCGCCGCCGTCGCCCCTCCGCCCTGCTGCGAGGGCCGTGCCCCGACCTCCGGGGGCGCCGCAGAATCGGTCGTCGTGGCCGACGAGGGGGGTGCCGCGCTGCTGCTGCTGCTGGAGCTGCCGGTGGTTGCGTCCGAATGGGCGACTGCTGCCCCTCCTAGGGCCTCGTTGTCATTCGCTGGTCCTACTTCTACACGGAGGTTGTGTCCTTCCGCTGCTGCTCGATTCGACCGCAACGACTGGGAATGCGAAGGGATACAGTATAGAGCGAGGAGGGAGAGGGAGGGGTGGTACTCATACTCATATGAAATGCTGTTGCTTTCAAGGGAGAGGGGTGTGGGGGGGGTCCAAGGTGGCTCGGACGAAACGCACTAGGTTGGGGGAGGGTAAGGACCTGCAAAAACACTACTGTTGTTCCGGTACTCTCGTCGCGTCAACAACTATCCCGGAAAACTTCTCGCCCACAGGTGAGGCGTAGAACACAACTTTACGTTACATACGCAGAGAGAGAGAGAGAGAGAGAGAGAGAGAGAGCGTGGCTACGCACAACATCCGCGCCCGTAAACGATCCTATTATCTACCAGGGGCCGCGCCGCCTCCCCCCTCCCTCCGCACAGAGGGCACACGTACCCTACGAGGCCACGAAAGAAAAGAAAACAACGAAAAAGTACCGTATGTCATCACAACACACCACTGTCCCGTAATACGACGCAACGGAGGCATGGTAGTCCTTGAGCTCTTCCAGCAGCGTCGGCAGGAGCCCTTGCGTCCGCTGCAGCGTCTCCAAGGCTCCCGGAACGCTGATCGTCAGCGCCAGATAACGCACAGACACGGCAAGAGCACGGGGGGAGGGAGACAACGATATCAAGCTCAACAGCAGTTGGAAAGCGACCACGGCTCGTACTTTTGAGTTTCTAGGTGCGGGGAACTGGGCCAAGACGGACCAAACCCAAACAAGCAGTTTGTTGTGTCCTCTTTCTCGCTCTCCCACTCTCTCTCTCTCTCTCTCTCTCTCTCTCTCTCTCTCTCTCTCTCTCTCGCTCTTGTATGTTGGGCGGCAAGCAAGGCGGACTCAGCAGATGCCAAGCAAGCATTTGTTCCCGCCCTTTCGCGGCACGTCGATTCTTACGCACAGTCTCCCCCCCCCCCTCCC